TTACTATATTTTACATACGCTTAATGTCTGTAACAGTGTTTTCAATTTAATGTTTAAATCGTTGATAATAAAGTGATCGATTAAATCACTTTATGGCTTAAATTACACAAATATTTGTGTCATTAGAGAAAATATAATAATAATAAAACCGATTTTATCACTTTTTAAATAATTTATTAAATAAAATCAACAGTTAGTTGAATGCATTTACTGTACGTTAATATCTGCTATCGTATTAATGACTGAAATTAATATCCGTTTTATAACTTAATTAAAACCAATGAATTCACTTTAGGCTCACAAACTAACCGATATTTTCAATACCATATAAAATATTTAAATTATATGCCATTAAAATAAGAATTTGTTTGACAGGAATATAATCTTTTCATTAAATTAATTTGTTTTCTCTTTCCCAACGAAGGATACACTGAAGACAAGCATTCATTAAAATGATAATCATATCATATAATCACTTCTCTATAATTTATCTGCGGATCAAATATATTTGTAAAAAATTATTTCTTCTATTCATTCAATTTAATTATTCAATTTAGTTATGAATTTATTGTTTTGTCAACAATTTTGGTAACTGAAAAAAGAGCCAATTATTGAGATGAAACACAAATTACATGTAATTAATTACATAATTGGTGCTGACCTTCGATAGCTTGACCTGAAGTTCAGGGTTACTTGTCTACGACACCAAGAGTTAGAACTAACTATAACTAACCATTTGATTATTTAAGTTATTTAATAGTTTTATACTAGAAATAAGAAATTTCTATTTCAGAAGAAAAGTAAAATTAATGGCAAACAAATCACTATCAGAAACACCGAGTGTTTCGTTAAGCAAAACAGTCTTTACTTCAAAAACGAGTGCGTGTTTTGAATCGAAATCATTGAAAATGTAAAAAAAAGTTTCTTAAAACGTTTTAATCGATAAAAGTTAACATAAAGTGAACATAAAATACTCGTTCACTTTTCACTGTCGGTTCACTTCTACCATCTCTTACTTCTTTAACACAGAATTCACGTGAAGTTTATTACGAAACCTAAAATGTACTCAAATTTATTTTTACACACATTTTTGTTGCAAAAAATAGTCTTTTTTGTGTTTCACTAATTTGTGGCTCTTTTTGTTAATGTTTTTGTGAATATTATATCAAATGTAAATTAAACTGAAAAACTAGTTTTACTATCCATTAAGCGATGCATAGAATCAAGTGATGTAACAAAATATGCATACATTTCATTGCATATAACATTCAATTGTGATTTATATTCAATTTCCGAGTATTTCTCAAGAAGTTTAATAACAAATCTCTATTAATAAGTGTTTAATACTGAGTCTATAAATAGTGATTATTTATTATTTGGATTTCAAATCAGTTATAAGGTCTGTATATTTTAAATATTATAAACTTTTACATTCATTTATTAATATTGTTATTATAAAGAGAAAAAAATCTTTATACAAATGAAAATACTTTTAAAGTATGTATAATTGATTAATTGAATATTTTGTCATTTTTTTATTAAAAGGTCATCAATTGATCAAAACATATCTCCAATCGTTAGCTTTTAAATAATTCTTAAAATATTTAAAACAAAATCTTTTCAAATACATTAAGTATTTTTTACATTTAAAAGTGAAATAACACATCGTTTAACAGACAATTTGTTTATTATTAATAAATATATTCTGGGATTGAATAAATGCACTAAAATTTTTGTTGTTTCCTTTAAAACAAATATTTAAAATAAATTCTATAATCGATTTATAAATATTCCCAAAATATACGATAAATACAATGTTTGTGACAAAACTATTTTGTGTGATAACAACGATAATAGTGTTAATGTGTTTGCAAATGACAATCACATCGATATCGATGTCGGGCAACGAGTCTCTGTTGGCGTCCCAACACTTCAGTCGAGTGATCAAAGACGCCAAATGCGGTCAACCCGTGCCTAAAGTCATACATATTAGCGATTATATACTGAGCGCGAAGAAGAAATTTGTGCCGCATTGCACTCGACTTCACTTCTGCGGCCATTTCTCCGGCTGTTGTCGTCAGGAGAACGAGGAATGTGTGGCCAAAACTGCCGAAGACGTGAAGCTATACTTTTGGGTGATTGAGTTGACACCCGATGGCAAGCAGAAGAAGGGTGTGGAACACATCTCTATGAAGAATCACACCGAATGCCATTGTCAGGCCATTAATCATGACACTCCTCGATGATGGCCCCCAACGGCCCCCAAATGGCGCCCCCATTACCACTACAACCATTGCCATCACTACCCGTCTGACCATCGATTCAATACATATATTATTGAAATATATGCTTTGTTTCATTTAATCCAATTATTTATAGTTTTTTATTATAATTGTAATTATTATTATAAAACTTCTATAATAGGAGTTATTTTGATTTCCAACTTTTTTGTATTTTTTTAGTGAATAAAAAATATTTATAAAGATATTGTCTTAATAATAATTATTATATTATTAATTATGAAGAACTAGGAATTAATTTGTGTACAAAATCCGTTTATTAACCAATAATTTAATGAAATATATTTTAATTATAAGGAAGTTATATCCGAAATGTTTCAAATCATATGATAAATCATTTAATAATTATAACGAAAGATGTTTTTCATACAAATAATGCTTAAATTTATGGAGGATTTAGTGAAAGTTTTTTGTTCACAAACGCTTTAGACCTAAACCTTAACCTTATTTCTTGAAATTAAAACAAATTTTAAATCAGATATTTATTTAAAGGTAATAAACGTTAACAACCAATAAATTATGCGATCAAAACATATCATAATCAAATTAATCATTTAACTAAATAATTACATTATACTAATAAATATGGATTAATAAGTTTATAATTACAAAATCATAAGCAAAACAATTAATATACAAAACATTTATTTTATTTTGAAGATTCACTTCTTAATTGAACAAACGATTTAATGAGCGCTTTATTGAGATCTATTACAACGTGTGTAACAATGATAAGTATGGGATGTTTTAATGATGGTATTGATGGCTCGGGGGTCAGCCATAGCCCAGTTTATAGCTTAAGGATGTCATGAGACACAAAACTGAGCCAAACGGCGCTCCGATACTTAATTGCCAAATGCATTAAGTCTTCCCTCCACTCCTATTTGTCTCTAAATTATAATTAATAAAATATAAATAACATGTAATGCCGTACGAGAAACAAACATTATATAACATGATATATATTGGGCCCAATTTTATCTTTATTTGTTAAAAATTAAAGATTTTTTTACGATAAATAAACGTCAAAGAATTTGTAAATTCAAGCAAACATTAAGTGATTAATAAATTAACTGTTGATTAAATGCTGCACTCGTTTCCGATTCAATTCATTAATGAACATAATCTGAGATCTTTTTGCTAAAATATATTATCTTTAAAATTTTTAAACAGAATTGTTTGGTATTAATAATTAATAATAAGAAAATAATATAAAATTATATTATAGATAATAAACTAAATTATACGTGTTATACATTTTATGCTAATTATTGTTTAATAAATTATTAAATTAAATTAATAATTGATAAATAAGTGATTAGCTGTGAAATATAATTATAATAAAAAATTCTTTGATAGTAATCCAAATCTGATTTGTTTTATTATTAAATATACGTAAATGTAAATTATTTCCATTGAAAATTCCGACATATTTCTATGTAATTTTAAAAAGACAAAGAATTCAATGCAATAAATTAATGATCACTTTTATAAAGATATATCAATTAATTCATAGTTATAAGTATTTCAAAAGTGAATAGGTGGAATTTGCAATATTGTTTATTACCTTAATTAAATATTTTACAATGATAATATCACATGTCTTAGATATACTTACATAACTTTTAGTGAACAACCAATCAATCAATTGAAAATTTTCTATTGAAATTATACTGTATTTAACAAAAAATAAATTCTACATTTGTACTTTTAGTAAAACTACATTTGCACTCATTATTATAATTGCAGTAATTTTACGATTTTAATTGGGAATTATATTTATAAATAAATATAATATTGAAATTAAAATATATTTGCATATTATATGCGAAATCTTGTTTTATTAAATTTCCCCTAAATTATATGAATGTCGGAGTTTTGTGCAATTAATGTAAATCAAAGTGACCATTTCTATTGGGTATGAAATTATTAAATTTATTTATTGATTCAATTTATGACAAAATATTCAAACAGTTGTAGAGAAATGCAAAAAAGTAATTGATTTAATAGCTATCGATACGGAGATTTAAAAATTGTGTTTAGTTTATGTTTGAATATAAAGTTATTATAAGAATTATAGAATTTCTTAAGAAACAAAACTATAAAACCTTGAGATAGTATTACAAAAAATCAATCCAAACTATATATAAACATGTTTTCAAATGTGAATTGTTTTTCATATTATTTATGGTAACATTTAAATGAATAAAATTATTAAATAATCCTTTAATAAATTAATTTAATTATGAAAGTACGAGAATATTTAATAAATTTCATATCAGATATAAAATATGTTTCTAAATTTATGGCATAAACTAAAGGATAAATTTTCAAAGACAGTAGTTTTAAATCATGAATTTTATATCATTTAAAATTTTAGAATCAAAACAAAAATCAAAATTTTCATGAAATAACGAGACATTTATTATAAATGCGAAATTGATATTATGTTTGATATAACTTTTGAGACTTTCATTAATAAAGTCAGTGTTTTATATGAGAGGCAATGACTTGAAAGTAAGGTTTTCCAAGAATTGATTCTTTCAGATATAAAACTCAATATAATTCACAAGTTTTTTACCTGAAAAATGCGATTCCTTTGCGCCCTTGAGATCTGGTTATCAGCGAGAAAACCGCGTCTCATATGTTGTGCCCATTTTTATCGGCTTTTCATTTCACTTAAACGCTTGAAAGTGTGACAAAGAATTGCATTTTTCTTTGGCGTCAATTGAAAACTATGTTAAATCGTTGGCTAATAATCGCAATGTTTGTCAACGCGTTTGTTTGCGACGAGAGTCACACCGATAGCCAGTTGGCGGCCAAACACTTGGCCCGTGTCTTACAAACAGCCAAATGTGATCAACCGATGCCTCGTGTCGTGTATTTGTCAAAACATTTATCCAAATATAATAAGAAATACAAACCGTTTGCCACTGTATTATATGTATGCGATTCTGGCTCCGGATGTTGTAATGATGAGACCCAGAGGTGTGTCGCCAAGAATGTTGAGACAATTGTATTGCATTTTTTGGCACTTGAGGTAACCGTCGAGGGAAACAAGAAGAGTGTCGAAGCCATCACTTTTCGCAATCACACCAAATGCGAGTGCAGACATATAAACAGGTAATTTTGCCAATACTTTCATATTTATTAATTCATTTATAATTAATGTCTTTTAAAGTTTTTGAATCACGTTTTCGCAGCAATTTATACGTTTAACATATTTAGTCATTTAATTTAAGTGTTATATTATGTATATAATCAATAATTACTTAATTCAATTGATTATAATTAAGATATCAATACCTTTTACATACGATAACATCATTAACACCATTTGCCCATTAATTTTTTCACAAATGCACTCAACATATGTCAAAAATATTTATCAAATAATTTTCACTCAAACTTTACATTAATTAGTAATTACTAGACTTAGGATAAAAAAGGGATAAAAATATTATAATTGTTGTAATTTTCAAAAAATGCGAGACTAGTGTTGGCAAATGAATCAACAATTAAACCCGATATTATTATTTAACGGGTTTTTATTACAAACGAATGTTCCTTTCATTCGATTCCCGAACATAAAAATCGGGTTTAATTGTTAATTCCTTTGCCAACACTAGTCTCGCATTTTGTAAGAATTACAACAATTAAAATATTTTTATCCTAAGTCTAGTAATTACTTATTAATGATATAATTTATATTTCTTATAATCAATAATGACAGAAATTTTAAATTACTCAAAATCAGTGTTTGAAAGTCAATGAATAGCTTTTGAATTCACAGAATATTTACTAAAATTGTTTTCTATAATTCCTAACTCAATGCAAACACGGGTTCGTTACACCTTTTATGTCTATTTTAAGTTTGTTTATATAAAATCTCTTTGTATTTATTATTTTCCAATAATTTTTAATTTTTGTTTTAAATATAATTAAATCTTTTTAATTTTTATATTTAGTGACGAAACAAAAGATGAGATTTTAGAAGAATATCCAAAACAAACAAATATATCATTTCTATCAGTGTCTGGACAGACGGCCCCTCAGGACACGAATCAATCAAATTCTGTGACAATTTATCATTTATCACATTTAATTTGCATATTATTTATGTTATTCATATTAAAGGCACAATTCTAATGAAAAACGTGCTCACATTTTTGTTATTTATATATTTAAGTACAAAACAATTAGTTATAATTTTAACAAATTCCGCATAAAAATTATATAATATTTAACAGTAATTTTAAGTTAAATTTTATAGTTTGTCAAAATATATATCTTTTCTTAATTAATTCAATGTTAAATATTTTTCATTTAAAAAAGTAAAGCCCCTATAAATGTGATAATAATTAATTAATTAATTAATTATATGTAAAACAATACCCAATAATAATAGCATTTGAAGGCCAGTGAACTACTAATAAGTGTTGATTTCATTGATGTCTCAAAAATGTGATTTCAATGCCATTTAATTTTGTGCAAACATTTTAGGAATAAATTCTGTCTTACTTTTATGGAGAACTTGTTTAGAAATCATTTTTATTTTGTGTTAAAAATAGTGATTTCTAACGAAATATCGTTAGTTTACGAGCTTTTGTTTAATGAAAAGTAAATAACAAACAATAAAACAAATAATAAGGTAATCATAAAAACAGCATCATTTGAATACCAAATGAAATGTTTGTAATGTTTAAGTGGTTGAGTCTATGCATGAGTTATTTGTCTGCAAAGACTTAATATAGTTAATTCAACAATCATTTCTTAATACTGAAATATATTATTTTATTGTTTTGTGGCGATAAAAATGTTCATAAATTATAATAAATGCATACAAAATGTGTTTATATTATTGTATTTATTGATCGACACATTAATTGTGGTCAAAAGCGAGAGAATATTTTATTATGTCTCGGATGTGACGGAAACCAATTGGAAAAGTTTTCGCTTAAGTTTCACCGCCGATGAGGAACTCATTCCCAGCGATCACATCGCTTGGGCTCTCTATTCAAACACTATCAATGAAACCGGGTTTGTATGCAAATTGATGTTCATTTATAATTACAAAAATTAATTTACAAATTATAATGCGTTTAATCATTGTTTAATTATATTTGCTTTACTGCTTCTCAATGTCTGTGCCGTTAATTCGCAGACAAAAATTCAATAAAAACACACTCTTTTCCACAAAAAACTTAACGTTAATTAATCTCAGAATAATGAATAAAATTCTCGTTATATAAGTAACGAGTTTTATAATAATATCCGAAATCAGAGACTAAATGCTGTGCTTTCCTAAGAAAACTGAAGAGTTGACTCGTTTTGCATACAAATCGCGAGAATATATAGATTTTGTGGCGAAAAGTGTTTTAGTAATCCATCCGATCATAAGATAGATAAGGCATTTATTTTAGTCAATGTTTCACTTTCTATGGGTTTGTGTATATATTTTACGACAGAGACAACGACTGCCCCCAAACCAGAGACCAGTCGTTGGATTTTCCCGGTTTTCACTCGCATTTATCCTTGAAATTGCATTTTTTTGCTTCTTCTTATTCTGCAAAATATTTATACACAATTTGATTCACATTATTATTAATACTTATGGTTAGTATTTTGAAGGTTAATAAACAAACAGTTAATTTATTAGACAATTGAAACACGCGTTTGACAAATGATTTGCCAATAGGCTTAATATTCTGTCATTAATTAAACGTGGTTTTTATGATAAGATTAAAACCAAATAAAATTCTAGAAACTGATGTATAAATGATTAATTGCTTCATAATTTGCAACTCATTTAACAAAAAATAATCTGAGAAACCCTTTCACTCGTGTATTGCACTCTAAATGAGATAACAAATGAGTGAATAAATGAAATAAATTGTTTGGGGGTTTGTGGGGAGAGACAGGTTTGCACAGTTAGAAGTGCACACAAATCCCATACATGGGGACAGCGCTCAGGCATATCACGCCGGTTTCATCGAGGGATACCTCACCGCAGACCTGATGGCAATGCATTGGAGGAATCAAATAGAGCTCTATTGTGACGATAAGCACAAGTATTGTAGAAAATTGTTCAAATTCTTGGACAGAAACCTAAAGGAAACTCAAGAAAGGGTTAGAGCGGAGAGAAATCAAAGCTCTTATTGGCATCAAATTGGACTCGTTTTGGAGCAGTTGACTGGTCTTCAGGACGGATATAATGTCAAACTCTGGGGTCACAGTCCGGAGGGGCCGAGAATGCAGGTCGACTCCCGAGGACTCATTGCTCTGACAATAATACCAGAATTGAGTGAATTTGAGTTATTCCTCAATAAGACGGTCAAAACTAAAGGACGCGACGGTTCCTGTTCTGCAATTGTGAAGCCATTGCCCGACGGAAGTGACTTATATGTGGCACACAATACGTGGGTTTGGTATAGCATGATGTTGAGGGTCTTCAAGAAGTATGAGCTCAATTATCGCGTTACCGCAGATTCACAAGAGATGATACCCGGAAGAATATCAGCCTTCTCTTCATACCCCGGTTATCATCACTTTTAACCAATAGTTCATTAAATATAATATCAATTACATTGAAAAACATAATTTCCTAACAAATTATGGTAAATTCCAGGCGCTCTCACATCGATCGATGACTTTTATATACTCTCGTCAGGACTTGTAGTTCAAGAAACTTCTATAACAAACATAAATACAGAGCTCTGGAAAGATATCCGACCGGAAGATGTAGTTTTAGAATTCATCCGCAATTTAGTGGCCAATCGTTTGGCCGAATCGGGCAAAGAGTGGTCTCAGATATTCGGTGAGAACAATAGCGGCACATATAATGACCAGTTTATGATCGTTGACTACAAACGGTTCCGGTGGGGGACGAGATCCGAGCTCTCGAGTCCAGACTTGCTTTGGGTTTTGGAGCAAATGCCGACTCTTGTCGTCTCGCAAGACGTAACAGGTATTCAAATGGAAAGCAATAAAAATAGTTTTGTTCATAATTTATATGCAATTTTCACATGAATTATATGTCTATTGGAGGTGTACTGAGAAGTCAAGGATATTGGGCCTCATATAACGTTCCCTTTTTTGAGCAAATATTTAATATAAGCGGATATAACAAACTCGTTGAGCTTTATGGTGATTACTATTCATACAACAATACCGCCAGAGCTCTCATCTTCAGAAGAGATCAAGTATTGAATTATTTATATTTGTTTTTCTTTTCATACAATAAGAGAAAGCAATCATTTATTGCAATTGCAATCATATATTTTACCCTCAAATTAGTCTAAAGTGAGAGATTTGACAACACTTTATAGTCTTATGAGATATAATAACTTTGAAAACGATGCGTTCAGTCGTTGCGATTGTGTGCCTCCGTTCACCGCCGAGTACGCCATCGCCGCCCGCAATGATCTCAACCAACCGGACGGCACGTATCCGTTCGACGCCCTCGGGTTCAGGGATTGGGGCGCTATTGATGTCAAGATCACGACCAATGATATGGCCAAACGGTTCGAGATGCTGGTCGTCAGCAGCCCTTCATATGAAAGACAGCAACCGTTTCAGTGGTCGACCACTAAGCTATCGAAGAGCATCCGACACGAGGGACATCCAGATAAGTGGGCCTTCAGTCCATATTTCATCAAATGGTATCCATACGACACAGAGATCGCAGGCGTGACCATCGCTGAGTCGCCCGCCCTTTAGAGTGATTACAATTAGTATAATAAACAATACAACTATTAATACCGGTATTTAGTATAAGTATAAAAATTAACAAAAATTGTTTTATTTATTTACAACTTTCAAACTATACATTAAATTTCCTATCATTTGATTTTAAAAATAAATATACTTTAAAAACAAGAAAATTAATGGGAAATGATTTATCAATTAATATCGTTATTATTAGGCATTTTTCTAACACTTGTTTTAAGATAAGTTGGGCACAAGAGGTAAAGCTGTAATCAATTGATGGCATCTCTAAAACGCCAATCAATTAAGAAATATAACTACAATTTGTTCGTTAAAATTATTGCTATAAATAAATAACACATTAATTTGACTGACAATTAGTTGTCTCAATGAGGGGTCGGTTTCTTGCCGTCGACGTAGAAATTTCTGGTCACCGCTGGAAGTGTTAATTCAATGCCAGACAACTCTGGAGTCAGCATTATTTGACAACCTATTGAAAGGGGAGGAAACACGTCATTAATATGGACACCATATGGTGGGATCAGTTGCGGACTTAGTCTGGAGTTGGACTTGAGCTGCGGCGCCATATCTAACATATCCTCTTCGTCTTCGGTGGGCGGCGAGAGTTTGTCGTAAAAGTCTTGTCTGACGTATACGTGACACGTGCAACAGGCCAGCGATGCCTCGCACGCGCCCTCGATGTCCACCCCATTATCATGTGCCAAATACATGGCATTCTGGCCAACGGTTCCCTTCACGGCCTTCCGGTCGCCGCTTTTGGTCACGTATATCACGTTCACGTCTTCGGCCGCCGACTCCTTCGCATTGGCCACCGGTTTATCACTCAATGTCCGCCACTTGTGGCCCAACGACAGCAATCTCTTGGCGCGGATTAAGTCATTAAACAATACATTTCTGGCCAAACATAACATCGTTTCGTGACTTTCATAAGGCTTTCGATGCGATAAACAAACAGTTTATGCAATCGTTTGTTGCCTTTCACTACACGTGCCTTCAGTTGCCATACATTCAGACATACATTACGTCTACAAAACCACTCAATCATTGAATTAAATGACAGGAAATTGTCTAAAAATTGTATTTATTGTTTGAAATGATTTAATTGAATACAAAAGAAGACCAAATGAATGGCAGAGAGAGAGAGAGAGAGAGAGAGAGAGAGAGAGAGAGAGAGAGTCTACTGATTCTGATTGTGTGATGGATTGGTCTGATGGGGAGGCGGGGGTGCGTCGGGCGGGAACTTAGGGACGGATCCCTTCGGCGGCTCCACTTTGAAGGCGAACTGAAGGAAGAACTGTTTGGCCTCTTTGTTCCATAACGTCCAGAACTTCTCTTCGGTTTTGTCGACTTCACGTGAGGGCACTTTAAAGCCAATCGTCTCATAGGGTTCGGCGGCGAACAGCAGGTATTGCCAGCGACGGTCCGGCGGCTCTATCTTCTGCTCGTAGGCCGACATAAACCGATGTCGAGGAGCGATATTCTCACCGATCTCTGGGTAATCGATCTGTACATCCATTGCGGGGGAAGACAATCAATCATTAGTATAATCAATGGGAACACAACAGCGCGTTGGGTCTCACCTGAAAGAGGAGTGACTGTTGGTTGAGCTCCGGGTCGAGCTGTTTAGTGACCCGATAGCCGGGTCTTCCGATTTTGACGAACTTCTTGATGTCAACCCTGGCCTTCGCGGGTGCGGGCAATGCGGGCGAGTCTTTGGCATCTTTGGCGGCGCGTCGGGCGAGATTGCTCTGGTGTTTCTTGCCCTGAGTGTGCGCCAGGTATGAGCCCTCGTTGTTGTGCAGAGTGAGGCACAGTTTGCACTCGTAACTACCAAGGTGGTTCTTCATGAAGTACGGGTCTTTCGCCAAATCGATCGTCTCTAACGCCAATTGTCGCAGTCGTTCGCGTCGGTCGCGATTGGTCTCAGACCAGGAGGCGACGCCTCCGCCCCCTGTCTTCCCTCCCGGCCTGTTTTGCATATCCATCCTCTCAGGTGTTGTGTGTCTTCCTCTTCGGTCTAATTAATGGATTAATTGTCACCAAAAATGACAACAATTTGTCGATTTATATCGTTTTTCACCAAACGTTTTGATCACAACAAAAATGCTCACAATTTGTACATAAATTACGGCTCTATTAATGGAAAGGGTTTCAATTATAAATGCCTTTTCATTGTATATTAGGGATGAAAATAAACTCACTTTTTGCACACGTTTTACGTGAATACCCTTTGAATAAGACTTTGTGTTTAAAAAGCAATAATTGTCGACAAAAATAATTGATTTTTAATAGTTTTTTAATTAAATAATTTGTTTTGTCATTAAATGATAAAAATAATTAAATATAAACATGAGTTTCAGTTTCTTATAAATGAGTTTTTCAGATCATTTCCCATTCAATTGGGATTTGGTTTGAATGATAGGCAGACAGTGTTTAAGGAATGGTTTCGAAGACTCCATACATTTATACCATTATTTAAGTTTTAAAAAAGTTTATCAAAACAATTGAGACATAATTAACAGCAAATCTTATCTAAATTTATGAAATAATTCAATCACTCGATCATAACATTCAATAAATATATTACTTATAAAAACATTTCATTTTTTGCACCCAATTATTGGCGGAAGTGTTGGTCGGTTAGGCCCGAGGTTTGCCTGCGAACTGTGTGTCCTTCGAGGCAAATAACTTCTTCACGAACAACACCTGAACCACAGCTGAGATTACGATTACAATGCACTGAACCACAGACCAGTTCTGGACATATCTGTCGGCAGATAAACAACACATTAATATCTCAATTACAATTCCAGTTAATGGTATTTAAAGTAACTTCAATTAGACAACATTAGAAATATCATTTAAATTATAACAAACATTACATTAAATTTAAAAACTAAGTCATCGCTAAACTAAATAAATATTTTTATCATTTCTGTTTTTAATTCAAAACTGGTTATAANAATTGTTTGTCCAAAGATAGAGCTCTTGTCAGCCATGCTTTTGTCCGAAAGGATCCAATCGTCTGAAGACTTGATGGACTGATCCGTGATATATGTATAGCCGTAACCCTTCTTCACCGTCTCTATGGCTGAAGACTCGAGTTTTGGTATTTTGTAGACAATATACCAGTCGACCGGATCTCCCGTTTCGGACATACATTGGAGGCCATAGACAACGATCCTTACCATCGATGACACCGACAATAAGCTCAAGACATTTATGACAAACATTTCGCTATTAAAACAAATACTGTTCACAAAAATCAAAATTGTTTTAACAAATGAGACATAAATTGTGAACACATTTAATGATAATTAGGTCTCAAATGACAAACATTTATAACTATTTTAATAAACATTTAATTAGTTTTAAAACTTGTATTAAAAATACACGTTTAATGACAACAAAACTTTGGTATTTGTTTGTAAATAAATATATTTAATATAAAGTTTACAAAATGTAAATATATTTAACCAAATGCTATATAAATCATGAGTTAATAGCCATTTATGTGACAATTAATGACTAAATTATGTCAAAATGTGTTATAATTATAAAATAGTGTGAAATTGTGTTGAGTTTTGAAGTTTTCAAAAATGAAAACAACATTTGAAGTGACGTTCAATGCATTGAATATACGATGGCTTACAATACAGACAACCTTTAAGTCCATTCATTCACTTCACTATTCAATTCATTCACACATTCAGTGTTATGTGTACTCAATATATGAGTTAATTGTCTCTTTAATTGTAATCAAGTATTCAAAGTCTATGGATTAATATGATTGAAATTTGATTGTATTTTTAATACCATTTATTAATAATATCCGTTTATTTATTGCAAAACTTTATTTTTCCTAACCTTTGGAAATGGAAATACAAAATCAGTTGAAAAACAAAAATCTCGAAATTAATGATAAAAGTAAAGCCAATTTAAATCCCCTTTTGATCGCTTTGTAAATAAAATCAATTATTATTTTGTCATTAATCTGTCAAAAGTTTTTTATCGTAGTGTTTTTGTTGGATTTTTGATAAATATATTTTTAATGAAGTGACTATTTATATATTTTTATAAATTATTTTTTTATACTTAAAGAATATTCTTTAAAACAAGAGAATTCTGTTAACTGTATTGTAATACTGTTAATATGGGGTCGAAAACGGGTAGTATTCGTGCTTTTCGGCCACTTTTTCCTCATAATATCTGGTATTGGTGTCCATCTTATCAATTGCTTTCATCTCAGCCGAAGTCAGCGTAAAGTCAAACACATTGAAATTTTCTGTCATATGACTCTTCATTACAGTGCGGGGGATAACAGACACTCCTCTCTGTATCTGATATCTGATCATCACTTGAGCCGTACTCTTGCCGTGATTATTGGCAATGGCTATCAATTCAGTCCTGTCCAACAGTCGGCCCTCACCTAACGGGCTATAAGCGGTTACGTGAATGTCTTTACTCTTACAATAGTTTATTAGCTTGTCTTGAGATAATTGCGGGTGACTTTCAATCTGCAAATCAAATTCAGTTATTATTATTGAAAATAATGTCACTAATTGTTAAGTACCTGATTAATCACGGGCTTAATTATGGCACTATCGAGGATTCTCAGGATTTGTTGACTATTGAAATTGGACAGACCTATGGACTTAACAATACCATCGCCAACACTCAACTCCATTTCCTTCCAAGTGTCCACATAGTCCACAGGCGATGGGATTATCAGTTTGTACTTATCCAGCGGCTCATCAACTGGTCCCTCTTTATATCTATTATTATAGTATAATTATTGGAGTTTTAAATAGTAATTGTAATAATATATTATGCGAATGAGTACCCCATCGGCCAATTCATAAGCAAAAGGTCGATATAATCGAGGTTTAGGTTTGAGAGCGACTGCCTGATGGCCTCCGCAGCTCTGGCTCTCGAGTGATACGTATTCCATATCTTCGTCACCACAAAGATGTCCTCTCTTTTGATGACTCCCTGTCTTATCCGGTCATTGATAGCTCGTCCGACTTCGATCTCATTGTGAAATACAAAGGCCGTATCGATGTGTCGATAGCCCGCGTCGATGGCATTGATGACCATATCATACACAACACTGGGTGTGACGCCATTACCTCCGGTTCCGAATCCAAGAATTGGCATTTTTAAGCCATTATTTAATGATAATTCACTGTTTATATAAGTGGTTACGTTTGAAATGCTAACGCTTTTGGCCGACGTTTCAAACGCTGTTAAAACAAAGAGTAAAATACTGGACAAGAAGTACATATTGGCTGTCATTTTCAAAGACCAAATTTAATTGAATTGAATTATAAAAGCTTTGAACGCATTTGAGAAGTGTTTTGTAATTATTGAATATATAAAGTGGTAGAAATTGGAGATAACGTGAAGAACATATGCCAGAGTTCACAACTCCTGTCAAGTATAGTATAAACTGACGCCAATCTTCTCTCTTAAATCTTAATCTTTGGATCCGTTTTCCTAACAAATAGGAAAGTAATTGAGATTTTATAGCAATTATGAAATTATACCTAACTTTTTGCGGTATATAAAAGACAATTCACTTTTGATTTCTTATATTTAATAAATTATTTTGCAAAATATATGATAATTCAATGACAAAATATTAGTGAAATAAACATTAAAATCTATTGAATAGATTAGTAAATCCAAAGGGGTTAGTTTGTCGTAAGTGGGTGATATGTACCATGGTTGAATTTGTTTATTAAATTTATATGAGTATTAATTCCCGATAATCTAAACGGATGTAAAAATTACTGAATAAAATTTCCATTAAATATAATGTAATCACAAATTACTAAAAATATATAACTTATACGACAACGAAATCGCAGTGAAGAAAAAGTTTGTCAAACTTTTTTAAATTGAGTGGTAATTAGCGAAACACTAGATATCGCTGTATTGTATGCGCTATTGAGGGCACAGTGTGTGCACAGGTATGATAGGAGAGCACTTGCAGTACAAGTGTTGGGTTCATGTGAGTTGAAAATTGCAGACAAAACACAACATCACTCGCTGTGAAAATGCATGACATTTGATGAGACTCTCTCTCATAATCATAAAACGATGGCTATATTTGTGTCCCAAAGACTACCATATGTTGCGATGATATCGTTGTTTGCGATTGTGTTTCTGTTAATAAGGGAAACACAAGCGGAGAGCTATAGCTCCACAAACTTTGAGGACAAGTTAGGCATCGCTTATGA